CAGTCCTCCTTATTTCATAGCTTTTCTGGCTATGTGGATTGTAGGCTAGTAATCCTTTGCTCTCTTGCTCTATGTCTAAAAGTAATATATGAGTGGGTACATACCATGTTTGTTTTTTTGTGAATGGGTTACCTCATTCAATAGTTTCTACTAGTTCCTTCCATTTTCCTGTGAATTTCAAGATTCCACTGTATTTTTTTTAATGATGAGTAGTACTCCATTGTGTAAATATACCACATTTTCTCCATCCATTCTTCATTTGAGGGGCATTTAGGTTGCTTCCAGATTCAGATTTTTACAAATGATGTTCTATGAATATAGTTGAATATATGTCCTAGTTGTATGAATGTACCTCCCACTTTCTCTTCTAAGAGGTTCAGTGGGGCTGGATTTGTGTGGAGGACTTTGATCCATTTGGACTTAAGTTTTGTGCATGGCAATAGATATGGATCTATCTGGAGTCTTCTACAGGACAGCATCTAGTTATGACAGCACCATTTGTTGAAGATGCTTTATTTTTTCCATAATTTTAGATTCTTTGTCAAAAATCAGGTTTTCATAGATGTGGGGATTAATATCAGGATCTTCAACTCAATTCAATTGGTCTACTTGTCTACGTGCCAATACCAAGCTCTCTTCAGGACTATAGCTCTGTAGTAGAGCTTGAAGCCATGGGTTGTGATGCCTCTGGAAGTTTCTTTATTGTATACTGTTGTTTTTGCTATCCTGGGTCTTTCGTTTTTCCATACAGAGTTGAGTATTGATCTTTCAAGTTCTGTGAAGAATTGTGCTGGGATTTTTATGGGGATTGCATTGAATCTGTAGATTGCTTTTGACAAGATTACCATTTTTACTATGTTGATCCTACCTATCTAAGAGCATGGGTGATCTTTCCATTTTCTGGTATCTTCTTTAATTTCTTTCTTAAAGACTGAAAGTTCTTATTATATAGGTCTATATTTTATGTCATTTATGGCTATTGTAAAGGTTGATGTTTCTCTAATTTAATTCTCAGCCCCTTTATCTTCACTATATAGTAGGACAGTACTGATTTGTTTTAGTTAATCTTGTATCCTGCCACTTCGTTGAAGGTGTTTATCAGCTGTGGTTTTTCAGGTCCCTTATATAAACTATCTTATCATCTGCAAATAGTGAGAGTTTATCTTTCCAATATTTATCCCCTTGATCTCCTTTTGTTTTCTTATTGCTTAGCTAGAACTTCAAGTACATATTGAAGAGATATGGAGACAGTGGTCATCCTTGTCTTGTTTCTGATTTTAGAGGATTCACATTAAGTTTTTTTCCATTTAGTTTGATGTTGGCTGTTAGTTTGCTGTGTATTGCTTTTATTATGTTTAAATATGTTAATCATGAATGGGTGTTGGATTTTGTCAAAGGCTCTTTCCACATCAAGTGAAATGCTTATGTGGTTTTTCATTTTCAGTTTTTTATATGGTGGATTACATTGATGGATTTTCATGTGTTGAACCATCCCAGCATGCCCGACATGAATCCCTCTGGGTCATGGTGGATGATTTCTCTGACATGTTCTTGAAATCGATTTGCCAGTATTTTATTGAGTATTTTTGCACCAATGTTCATGAGGGATATTGATCTCTAGTTCTCTTTCTTAGTTGTGTCTTTGTGTGACTTTGGTACCAAAGTAATTATAGCCTCTTTTCAGAGTTCAGCAATGACCATTCTACGTCTATTGAGTGGAACACTTTGAGGAGTATTGGTATCAGCTGTTCTTTGAATTTCTGGTAAAACTGCACTGAAACCATCTGGCCTTGGGCTTTTTTGGGGTTGCGGAGTTTATAGGTCCATTTAAATTACTTATCTGTTCTGGATTTAATTTTGGTAAGTGATATCTATCCAGAAAATTGTCCATTTCCATTGAATTTTTAAATTTTGTGGAGAAAGGTTTTCAAAGTATGACCTGAAAATTTTCTGGATTTCATCAGTGTCCGTTGTTATGTCCTCCTTCTCATTTCTGATCTTGTTAATTTGCCTGTTCTCTCTCTGCCTTTTGGTTAGTTTGGATAAAAGTTTATCTATCTTGTTGATTTTCTCAAAGAACCAACTCTTTGATACGTTGTTCCTTTGTATTGATTTCTTTGTTTCCATTTTATTGATTTCAGCCCTCAATTTGATTATTTCCTGGTTTCTACTCCTCCAGGGTAAGTTTGTGTCTTTTTGTTCTAGTGCTTTCAATTATGTTGTTAAGTCTCTTTTGTGCCTTTTCTCCAGTTTCTCCACGTGTGCACTTTGTGCTATGAACGTTCCTCTTAGTACCTACCGATCATTTACCCAGTTTTTCTATTTCTTGCATTCCCTCAATTTGTGTTTTCTTTATTGTCCCTATTGCAGTTTTCAGGTCTTGAACTGTTTGAATTCTTTCCTTCATCTGTTTAATTGTTTTTTATTAGCTTTCCTTGCTTTCTTTAAGAGATTTGTTGATTTTTTGCATTTTTTGGTTTGTTTTTCCTTTCATTTATTTAAAGGATTTTCTCCTTTTTTAGGGTCTCTAGCATCTTCATGAAGCTTTATTTAGGGTCATTCTCTTCTGCTTCATCTGTTTTGGGAAGTTCAGGTCTTGCTGGTGTGGAGTCCCTAGACTCTGGGGATGTCATATTGATCTTTCTGTTGTTGACTCAGTTCTCATACTGTCATCTACCCATCCCATCTTCCAGTGTGTTCCAGTGGGGGAAGGGACTCTCCCTCTCCTAGAGGGTATGGGACCAAGGTTCTTGTTTGTTAGCTGCAAGCAGGTTCAATACTCCAATGGCTCTCCTTGCCCAGTGTGTGGAGGTGTGACTAGGGTACTGGCAGACTCTAATGGGCTAGGCCACTGGGTCAGGATACCCTGTGCACAGTGCCCAGTCCTGAAGAGGCTCTGAGCAGGGCACCAGGAGGTAGGCTCCCTCCTTGGGCAGAGGTGGGTCCAGGTCGTTGGTAGACTCTGGGCAGGCCGGTCTGCCTAGAAGCCTAGATTGGCATCCCTGTGCATAAGCCCTGGGCCTCAGGAGGCTGTGAACAGGGCACTGGACGGCAGGCTGGAAACAGGGAATATTATGCTTCTTTTCTTTTAAAAAATTATATCCTAATGCCTCTTGTGAGGCCTGGCTTCTTTTCCTTAGTACTATGTGTAAATGCTTTTCCTAATGAATAGACATATTTGCAGAACAATTTGTAATGATTGTGTATCATGTGTTCTTAAAATCATATAATAAAATACTAAGTATTAGGGATATGAATAGGTTATTTTGACTATTATAAGTATCATTGCAATAAGTGGCTTCTTAAATAAATTGTCATAGGCATCATTTCCAGATGATAAACTCCTAAAAGCATAATTGTTATGTAAATAGCATGTATAGTTGAAATCTTTTGATAAATAATGCTAAGTTGCCCTCTAGAAAGATGCAGGAATCTCAAATTCATTCAGTAACTCGGCCCTTTAGAAAACAGGTAACCTCCATGATACTCACACAAAATTTTCTATTTTTAGCATTTTTTATTACCCATCACATAGAGTTGTTGAGGCTCTTTTCTTTAAATGTATATACTTCCTTTCCTTTAAATGTGGAAGGAAGCTAGAAATATACCTTCTGCATTTGGGCATATGTTGCAAGGTGATGTTGACTTTTCACTTACTGAGAGGTTTTATACTGTACATTAAAATGCAGCACTAGAATGTGCTTTGTTTAGCAGTGCATTTTACTGCCATAGAGGGCACAGTAGTGGTTAAGATTCAGGACTTTGAAACCTGGGTGACCTGCATGCTGATTCTTGCTGCATCACTTGCTTACCAGGTGAATTTGGACAAGTTGTTTAACCTATTTTTGCCATTCCATTCTTAAAAGCCCAATGAGGAAAACAGCATAGCCTATTTCACACAACTAAAGAATGAATGAGATAATGAGTACATAATAGAACACATGGCACTTAGTATCTAGTAAGAATAGAGTACTCTCTCTCTATACATATATATGTATATATATATATATGTATATATATATATATATTTGTTTTGTTGAAGTCCTTACTTATGAATATATCACTACTATTTAAGAAAGGTCCACTTACAATAATAATGAGTAACCTGTGATCATTCTGTAGGAATATAATATAATATAATAACACCATTACTCGACATGTAAAAAGTTCCACAGCAGGCATAACGAATGTATGGTGAGAGAGCGCAGAGCTGAATTTGTCTCTGGGAATCGAGGTAGAAATTTGATAAGAAAAAGTAGGGGAGCTCCTTGCGTTATAGAACTGTTCTACTTTTTGGATAGGGGTTTAGGTTGCACAAGGAATTGCGTTTGTCAATTCTCAACAATGATATGTGTTAATAGTGTGTATTTTCACATATAATTTTTATATTGAAAACAAACTATAAAATATCAACTCTATATATTAATTTTGAAATCACCAATTCTCAAAACCTCACATGAGCTAGTAGAGGAGTGTAAGGATGAAATATGAGATAAAATTGGTGCAATGAAATGTAAACAGGACAAGCTTATTGATGATTAAATGCAGTAACTTACTACAAGTAAGCCATGTATGTACTATGCTTCAATAAAAATGAATGAATATCTGCCCAAAAATCTTGTCCTTAAGGTTTAGTAGTAAGGAAAAGCCCAAACACTGGTGTCTTAGATGCTCTCATTATCAGACTCTGTTGGTACTACACAGTCAGCTCTTCAGAATCATGATTCAGGAGTGAGAGGAGCACAGGGAATATCAACTATGGAATGGCAGCATTGACTAGTCAGCAAAGAAGCAAGGAAAGGAAGGACTGAGGAAGGGACAGAGTGACAGGGGTGATTATGAGGATACCAAAGACAATTCAGTTACCTCTGGATTACCTGAAATGTTGATCCAGCCCTCCCAGGTCTGGTGAGATTTGCAGTTGAAATCTGTAGACTTGTGGGGTTTATAGAAATTGCATCTGGTATTTACAGGGACACTTTTCTGTTTTCCCCGCTTAGGCATTTCCTGTTCAAGCATGGATCTGGTTCCTCTGCTATCTTCAGTGCAGCCAGTCAGAACTACCCTCTGACATCCAATACTGTCTACTCACCACCTCCCAGGCCGCTGCCTAGGAGCACCTTTTCTCGACCTGCCTTCACTTTTAACAAACCATATAGATGTTGCAATTGGAAGTGCACAGCCTTGAGCGCTACTGCAATCACAGTGACTTTGGCCTTGTTGCTAGCCTATGTAATTGGTAAGCCATTTATTCTACGCATGAGTTTTCTTTTTCACCTATGATTGTTTTGTTTGAAGTGGGGTAGAAATTCCCTCTCAGTGGTGGGATGCACAGATTTGTAACATAACTAAGTCCTGTAATAACAAATGTTTTTGTAGTTCTTTTTTTTTTTCATCTCCCAGCCTTAAATACTGCTGTTGGGGTGGAGGCAACACACTTTGAGAAGAAATATTTATTCTACTAACACGGTCTTATTGATTGAAATTGGTGTAGTTAGCCATGTTCCTTTCAATTAAAAGGTTGTTACACTTTTCTTATTAGAAGTCATAAACACTAATCTACAATAGCTTCTTAAATTATAGGTACATAGTACACAATAATATGACTACTGAGTTTTCAGGTAGTGATTTCGTTGAAGCACTTGGGAGCTTTTAGAAAATTCAGTGCACAATGTCTTCCCAAGGATTCAGACGAACTAAAACAGATAACCTTATTTTCACTAGAAGCTGGAAAGTGTGTGGTTGTTCCATTTCGGAGGGCAATCGTATGTATTCTTTCTACTTTTATAGAAATAATGATGTACTTTAGTCAGTATGATTAAAGTCACCCACACTTAATAGAAAAGGGTATTGATTTTTCTGGGTGGCATTTTATTTTGACTGAATATTAATTTCCTTGCTTGAGTGGTTCTACCAGTTTAAAATGTAAATACTTTAAGAAACATGTTTTTTGAAAGCCTTGTTCCAACAACGAATGGAATATCCTAATTTAAAAGAGAAAACAATGTAGATATGTCACTAACGACTTCTTTTTAGGTTTAACCTGAAATTCCATTTCCCAACTGAAGGAGAATTATTCACTAAGATATAATGAATATGATTTTGAGAAGTGGATAAAAAAGGATATTTAGAATTTCTCATACTAATAAATAATAAAGCATGTTTGAGTGGTTCCCATTTTACTAAAGTGTTAATAGATAGTCTTCATATAACCAGTTTCTATAGGAGCCATGAACCTGGAGGAGGAGGTAAGAGAATAAACAGATAGATTTTGCAGAGATGTTGCTGAAGTGTCAGCAATAAAGGGACATAGCCTCTGCTGATGAGCATGATTCTTGCTTAGGAATTTCCATCAAGCCATTCCTATTCTAGTAAATGTAGATGATACTTTCCTGTGTCTAAAGTGTTTCCTTTATGTTAGATTTCACTGAACATTCATTGTATACTTATTTAAATTATAATGACCTGTAATGTGAAGTACTTTTGATGGGGTGAAAAGATAAGGAAGAATTGAAGTTACAATAAGATTTTAACATGAAATCATTCAAAATCAGGAGCAAGGGCCAGTAAGGTGGCCTAGCATTAAAAATGGCATTGCCAGCAAGCCTAAGTATTAGAGTTCAATCCCTGAACCCATTTTATGGAAGTAGAGAACTTTACTATGTAAGTTTTCTTATGACCTCCACACATACTCCAACACATAGGTTCCCCCACACAAGTATAGTTGATAAGTGTTAAAAAAGTAAAATATTCAAAATAAGGAGTAATTTGAGATGTTCCAGTACCATCCAGACCCCTCAAATTGTTCTTGCTCAATTATGAAATCAGCTTAGTGTTATATGTGTTAGTTTCTATTCACTTTACTATAAGGAAGTAATGTCTTATACGATACCATATATAACCCCCAGTAAAAATAAATTCAGGCAATATGAGAGTGTATGTTAATAGTAAATTTACTTTGTGTTTAAATCTGTATTTCTATTTCAATTTATTATGATGTGATGGCTACTTCAGATTTTATTTTTTTTTTAATGTGAGACTTTTTATTTTTCATTTTATTAGTTAACACTTGCTTTTTAGTCATTTCAAGGGATGATATTGCATATGGATTGTCAATTTGACATTAGAGCAAGGTAACATACTACAATAATTATGAGCATAGACTTTTAAATCTCTGCTATTTACTAGCATATTGCCTTGAATGAACCATTAAATCTGTTTAGACCTCTATTTACTCACTTGAAAATGTGTTTAAAATAGTACCTAAATAGTATTATGAATAGAAATAAATGAATTAGTAAACATTAAAGTACTTGAAATAGAGTATAAATCCAGAAGTTAATTTATAATGGTTAAATTCTAATATAATTATAATTTTCATTTGTTCTTGTTGTTCATGGGTTCTAACAATTAAGCGTATTGCTCATGGTGCTTCCACTTTTTAATGACAGAACGAACTCCATGCCTGTTAGCATTAGACCTGACTTCCTTTTTTCATACAAGTAGACTCACTTCCTTTTTTCATACATTTAAACATTGTAGTTTACTAAATAAACCAGCCTGGCTGTTTTAAAACTTGACTAGATGAACTGTGTGATCTATTGCAATGGGAAGTGGAACTAAGTAGCTTGATTGGTTGAGAGGTGTCTTTTCAAAATATTTACTATAAGATTTTCTAATTGCAAAACATGGTATTCAAAATGCTGATGCAGTGCACTCAAAGGAGATTTCTTATAGTAAACACTGTGACTTTCTTCTTGACTTCATCACAACCTGGGTATTATATGGTTTTAGATAAATTAGTAGAACCCTCTTCCTGAAGCTGGGTGTTACATAGCTCAGTGGTAGAGTACTTGGCTAGCATGCTTTAGACCTTAAGTTCAAAACCAAGTACTGAAAAAAAAAAACTGTCTTCCTGGATTTATCCTATTACTGCACTATTGCTGACCATCTCAGAAAAGTAGAGTAAGAATTCATAAACACACACATTCAGGTGAAAGAGTCCACATAAGAACTATATTATATAAGATTATTTTTAAATGGCTTTCTGTGGTTGAAATAAAACAGTATTATACTTCAAAATATGAAACCATTTCACCCTCCACTCTTTTTGAGTCTGTAAGACTCATCTTTTTTTTTCAATCCCCTTTGCATTTGCTGTATAACCCAAGAAAATCTTTCACTGAAACTATTTACTGCTTCTGTTTCCTGTGCAAATTCCTTTCTGCTATTTCATTTTCCTCTATTATCCATTATACATAACCTTTACATACTAATGACTATATGCTGGGTTGCCCTCAATCCACCAGGGAAAATCACATCGATATCAGTGGGACATCAATAGGTGTTCTGTGCATAATGCCTCTGTAAGTGGTCATTGGAAAGCAGTAGAAATCGAGTATGTGAAAGGCCACAGCTGAGGTGTTCAGCCAAGCAGCTCTAGCTTTACATCTACCCACTATACCTTTAAGGTCAGCAAGAAAGTAATTCCTCTGAATAAGTTTTGAAGTCATAAAATTTGGTAAAGAGAGGTATGGAGAGTTACTGATTATATGAAGAGATCATGGAACGGCTATTGTCAGGACTTCCTCATAAATCTGAAATATTTTCCATCTGAATCAAAAAATATGTCCTTATGCTTCATCCTCTCTGATATTTTGGCATCAGTGATGTATCAGTGCCAGTCAGAAGCACATTTCCTTGAATTTACAAATAAGCCATATGAAGTAGTAGTCAGAAAGACAGATGACCATATGCAAGGCATCAAAAGAAGGCGAGGTTAAGGTATTCCATCAATGGTTTGAAGGGCACAAACACAGCTTCTCTGCAATCTTTGATGTTTTGATCAAATTTCTACAGAGTCAGCAATTTCTATAAGCAGCAATAAGAACTCACAGGCAATAGGAACCCATAAATACATTGTATCTGGGATCAAATGGGCTGCTGCATTTAACAAATCAGGTGGAATTTTCTAGTTCTCAGACCCAATATCATCAGTTAATGACATGGATGATCCTTTTGATTTGCCGTGAAATTAATAATGATTCATGCCACCTTCTGAAGATGCAGCTAGTGTCCAAACTGTAGAGATTAAAATATTAAATTCTATAAATCTCTCCATGATAGTTCCATGTGTGAAAGTTAATTAAATGGATATTAGCAATAGAGAATTGGGAAAAAAGTAACATATTCAGCTTGTTTCTGTGAACTACAGTTAATGAATAAAACTATTCAAGAAACTAAAAGCCCTACTTCATTTTTTGTTACATCAAAGTTTGAGTAACACTTATATTAGTGTTTTTACCTGCATCCTTTATTTGTTGCAGTTACTGTTAAGAGCATTGTAGAATTTGAGAACTTATCCATTTGGGCTTTTTATAGAGGAGTGCATACCAATATATAATGGCCCAAAAAGCAGAAATAATAAAGGATACAGGAGTCTTATAGGAAATAAGGATGATAAATAGGGACATATTATGAGAACATTTAAAGTCACAGCAAGGAGCTGTTCATCCCCCCCCAAAAAAAAATAATAAATGAGGGTTTTCATGTTTTTAATTAGGGCAAGAAAGTTACTTGATTAGATTTACACTACTGGATTTTGGTTTAGCAGGCAAGATGGTGGCAATTTTAAATTTGAGGTCATGAAGACAAACTAGGATATTGCAATATTAATGCATGTAAGTGATGGTGAGAGCATAAACTTCTAAGATTAAAGGGTGTGGAATTAAGAAGTATTTAGAAGATAAAACATACATGACTTCATCACTTATTTAATGTGACAGGGAAGAGAATCATTGCTGTTCTATGGATTAGATTAGTTTGTGATGTTTTTACATCCCAAGGTAAAATATGAAAGGAAGAGATAAAAGATAAATACAAATGATCGTAAAAGACTATTATGAAAAATTATGTACCAATAAATTGAATAATATAAAGGAAAGGGAGAAGTTCCTTGATGAATACTACCTACCAGTATTGGATTATGAATCACAGAAATATCTGTACAAACCAATGATGAATAAAAAAGCTGTGTTAGTAGCAGTCTCCCATCAGAGGGAAGGCCAGGACAAGGTGGCTTTATGGCTAAATTCTACCAAACATTTAAAGAAGAAATAGCACCATCTTCTTACAGCATTTTAAAAAATTATGAAGGAAAAATACCTAGAAAATCACTTCAGCATTATGCCACTAACAAAGTTAAACACTGAAACTCAAAAGAAAAACAAATTATTATTC